GAGTGGTTTGGCTTATTCCTATGCCATGCAGGTTGATTTTGGGTAGTCGAGATGCCGTTATAGAAGCTTGTTTGTTTTTGGTTAGAGTTTGGTGAGCTTCTATTTGTTGTGTCAACATACCTAGGGCGTTTTGGTTGTGTTGGTGTGCTTAGTAAGGCATTTTAATTAGTATATCTTGTTTGGCAGTCGTTTTCGAGTACTGATTGATCGGTCTTGGGAGATATAGTAAAACTTATACTGCTATCTAAGGGTGTCACATGACTCGGTCCGGGATCCGCATCATCGTTTTGTTCTGGTGGAACGTTGTTATTTGGTTGTGTCTCCCTCGTTTGTTTCTGACCAGCAGTCCTAAATGCTTTTGCAGTTGCGCGTTTTTTATCATGATAACTAGAGTCAGACGTGCATGCTGGAGGTCCTTATACGGGGGCTGTGGGTTTATCATTTGGTTTACGCTGGCCTGTTTATTTCTTTTTATTAGTGCTAGAAGTAGAAGTAGTGGCTAAAGGTTTAGTTGAGGGACCGGAGTGCTGATTATCGTATTTGTAGCTGGTGTCTTTTTCCCGAAGTTTACTTCTTTGCATAGGTTTCAAATCTGGACCTATAAATGAGTTTAGGTTCCGCAGATTTCTGTTTACTTCGGGATTTTGTAGGACAATCTCAGCTTCCGCCTGTGAATAGAAGGTTACTAAGACGGGTTTGTTTTTACTTCTGGAGTGAAGTCTTTTAGTGTTAGCTACTCTGATATTTAAGCCACACCAATGTATAAAATTTTGAACTGATGGCGTCGGATTAACGTTGTGGGGTATATTACGGATAACTAAATTGAGCCTGCGTTTCGATCTATCCGCGACTTCTGACGAAACTGAATGTATAATCGATTCAATTTGTGGTAGGCTCGTTAGGCTGTTCGTGAATCTATTTGAGTCTGTTAGTGAATCAAGAATCGTAAAAATATGTTCATGTTTCTCGATGAACTTTTGTAAACGGACGATAGCCGAAAGATCTGCTTTGTCGACAGCAAACGTAACATCGGTCATGGTTAAATGGAGAGAGTGTAATGGATTTATGTGTTATTTTCGACAGCTAATAAAAATCACCGCAAAATCGACGCAGAAATATGTCAAATATTTCAGTTATAAATGAATTTCAACTTATCTCGAGTCAAAGGATTTTGAACGGTTGTGCACAAACGGGCTGAGATTCGTTACATAAGTGGACGCGACAAGTAGGAAGCTGGCTGGCATATACGAAGATGCAAATTTAAACCCTGCTTCATATTTTCGAACAGTACAGCAGCATGCAAACTTAAAAGTGAACCAATAGCAGACAGTTGTTACGGAGAAGTTTGGTGCTACATGCGTGCAAAGTTTGACCTTGAGTGAATGTACATATGAGGAGGGATTAACCTCTGTGGATAAAGCGTTCTACGCTAAAACCACTAGGTAAGTGTAGAAAATATTTGCAGACGCCAGCTCGTACTTTTCCTGGGTGCAGTTTAGAACATAACCTAGAATAAGTGTGTGTTAGTCTGGATTAAAAAAACTACCAGGACTAAAGCAACTTTATAAAGTGAACTTTAGGAACATAAAGTAAACTTTACGCATAAAGTGAAGGGTTCGTGGGAGGTCCCCTCCAATCGGCCTATAGAAAATGTGAAAAGGTAAAGGTTCAAGCGCCGGTTTTCGTAAAACAGTGACCATAAATCATTGACCATCTTTGCCGCTAGCTTTTGGACCTTATCTAAGATGGTGGATTCCTTGACGGCCGAAAGTCGCCATGCCTGCACATAATACTTCCAAATTTTTTGCAGAAGCTGTCTCCATCAAAAACCGCCCGATGTGTTCTAATGTAACCATGACCGACTTGGCCGCCTTCGTACAGTTTAGTGTTCAGTTCAGTTTATTGGAGGGAAACGCAGGTGTTGAACCTTCGAATTCCCTCTCTGTTACATGAAAGCAAATTATACCAAAAATTTGGAAATGAAAATATCAAACGGCTACAGAATTTTTTGAAACCAGTCAGATAAACGAATTGTTGACATTATTAAATGCGTTGTGCAGTAGTCAGTCTCTGCAGAACTGTGCGGCAGGAATTGGTGCCATGTTAGTTTTTGAGGCAAACAAACTGGAGCTGACATTCACATTAAATAGACATGGGATAATTATACAACAAAGACAAGTGTTATTTAAAAAACATTCAGTAATACTAGAACAACAATAAAATGCTAGAACGAAACGCTAAGGCGGTATCGATTAGACGAAATTGTGATGTTTGGTCATCGTCTGCCATATTGTGAACAAATTTCCACAATCTGATGTCATCGACGAAGGGAATGACAGCGCAGTCTGGATTCCTGACGCAGTCATTGATGAAGACCAGGAATAATGTGGGATCTAAAACAGGGCCCCTTGGGACACTCTTCATCACTGTTACCCCAGAGGACTGCTAGCGACCGACTTGCACTCTCCGATCCGTCCCAGCAAAAGGTTATGAATGCATATGAGGAGGATACCATGACCCCCTACGTCGTGCAGTTTGTGAGGGAGGTGTTGATGTGAAACGCGATCGATTGCGTTTTTCAAGTCGATGTAAGTACCATGCACCATACTGCGTTCAACATGTGCGTTGGTTCAGTGTCCGAGCAAAAACAGAAGATTTTTAAGACAATGCCTGTGACTGAGAACACCGTGGTGGGCATTAAAGAGAAGGAGATTTTGTCGCATAAAATTCACTAGAACTTCTTTTATTAGTTTCTTCATGATGGAGGTGGGACTCACCGGCCTGTATTTATTTGCGGATGCTTGACACCAAACCTTCAGTAGTGGAACGATATTTGCGGCCTTCCAGTCGTTCAGTGGGCACTGAGAAGTACATGACGCCTAGAAAAGCAAAACTAACCTCTTGGCCATTTCCAAAGAGAGTTTCTTTGGCAGATTGGCTGGGATTTCATCTGAACTTCCCGAAGCGGGCTGCTTAAAATTTAAGCGCCCTACCCGCATTATATATTTAATAAAGAAGACTATCTTGATGGCAGGTACACCGTCGTCGCCGTCGTCGTCGTCGTAATACTAGGGGGAAAATTTGGGTTCCTTAGTAAATACGGGTTGGAATAAATCAGAGAGATGATCGAATTAGTTCTTGGACTTTGCGAGTACAACACCTTCGACATATCCTAACAGTGGCATCGGACCATTGATCTAAATACTCTGTCTTATATGACTGAACAGAACTTTAGGATTAAGGATGGCGCGGTATGTCGAAGTTCGTGTGGTCGACAAGATAGAGACTCCCAATCAAAAGTCAGGGCAGACGGAATTAGTGGGACAACCTTTACTGTTTGGAAATCATGAACACCAAGGCTGTGTGGGCAGTCGTCGCAAGCGTGCTCTGCAGCCCAGTTGTTGTCTGAGTCCGCCTTTGAGGTGTTGTGTCAGCGCGTGTGTGCGCCCTTCGTTGTCTCCACGTCGCCAGCCAATCAAAGTGGGGACAGCGTTGATTGGCTTTGAGCAATCGCGCGGCCCAGCAGCGTATCGACAAGGAGTGTGAGGCGGACAGGACGGCAGCATGACAAAGGCGGAGGGTGAGGGGACACGAACTACTACAGGCTCACAAGATCACCTGAAAGCTATTCAGTCCCTTATGCTAATAGTTTCAATCCGGTTTCTCTGAAATTTGTAATCGCGCAGCAATTTGCGAATCCTATCAATAAGGGCTCTTGTTCCACAGCTTTCTTTTTTCGCTTACTTCTGTCTTACAAGGTTGTGTCAGCCATTGAGGCCTGTTTGTTAGCCTTTTCGAGTGACTGGGCAGTGAGTGAGGAGGAAATTATGGACTATCTTTTTGAACTGGCCCCATGCGCAAAGAATTTCTCAGCCAATCAGACAAAGGGCAGTCTCCATTTGTTCGAAATCTCCACACCAGATATTTGGTCGGCATTTTGCACTGTCCACCGAGATGCCGAGGTCTCACCCCAGCCCTGCCGCAACCCGACATCTCCAAGTTTCCGAAGGCTTTCATAAAGTTTGTACGAACAATGTCAATTTCAGTGTCCTAATCTGGCGCCCGGTTTACTGCTCCACTGAATAGAGCATATTGGTAGAGCAGGAATGGTTTGTCCAAACCATTTTGAAAAACATCAACAAGGATAGCCTTTACTTCAGGTAGCTCCGCGGGGGTATTCCAGTCATCCTTCCCATAGCTTTTGCCAGCTACATGTTAGCATCACAAGCCTGTAGGTGCTAACACTTTTTCTGGACCAAATTGTGAATGGGACACAACTATCACTTGCCAATCACAGGGGAAACACCTCGAGCAAAGGACCTGTTAGAAGTATGCGAAAACAAATTCTCTCAGCAATCCTGCCAGCATTCTGCGTGGACACGAATGCTTAAATTCACTAGTCCCAAGACGATCCATTCTCATGTGTTCTGTGAAGCTAATGCTTTCCAAGACTTGTGTCTTTATTAAAAGTAAGAAAATAGGATTAATAAACGTACGTCTAATCGGCAATGTTGTTCTTAAAAAGCAGGTTGTGCGTCCTGCTTTACTACCCTTTTCAACCATTTCTTCAACGATTTTTGGCTGCTGTTTGCGCTTGGAGATTGACGATAAATTTCGGTTGTTTTATTCCGCTATTTAGCCTGAGGTCCCTACTTGCTTTTTGAGATTTCCTGGCACTTCAGGTCTTTTGCCGCCCTTTGTTTTTGTTCATTTCTGGCCTTCCCGTTTATATATTATTCAGCGAATCGGCACTGTGCCATCAGGATACAGTAAGTTGCCGAACTCTCTTATCGATAACAATGAACCCAAAGACGTGGAAACTTCAATCGGCATCATATCGGTCAATATTAAATATTAAGAATCGCATGCGAATTTTGTCGGTCTAGGCATTTCCATTTTGAAACTTCCGTCTCCTTTCTTTAAATTGTTCAGTTAAACAATAACACTGATTATCAAGGCGGAACGATTATTCGTATTTTCAAGGACGGTTTACCTTTGCCATGGACAAGATTTTCGCATTAATATTTAGTAAGCATTATACAGCATTAAGTTCATTTGGCAGTTTTCTGCTCAACAAATGCATCCCTGATGTGGAAAATGAAGGATTACGAAAAATATCAATTTTCAGCATACGTGGACGAAGCCAGCGGCAGGTGTGTAGTATTCCCTGCAATCAAGCTGCATCTAACCGAAGGTAACAAACATCTCCCACTTCAAGTTCCATTTTCGAATAAATGTAAAATGCGGCAAAACTGGTTTGGATATCGTCTGGAGTTTTGTTAAGATGTATTTATTATGAAATTTTTTATTTTGAAACCATAATTGTGATCATAAAAATGCTTCACCTGCAAAAATTAACATTCAGAAACTTTTATATGTTATGAGTACGGGTTAAATTCATATCGTAAATCAAAATAAACGAGCCTGTTGTTCAAAATTACTTGGTTAAAACTTATCGTTGGCCATGGTGCACCATGCTCATGACAATGCATGGTCACTAACTGGAAGAAGGCGAATAAAGAAAAAAAGAATAGCAATCTTAACAAGTCCACAAACACAGAATTGTTAAATTTAGCATGCTGGGAAGCAAACTTAATAAAATCATGGAGGCCATGTCATGTCGGCCGTTACTTAAGTAGAGCTGGGCAGTGAATGCATGACATCAACACATTGGCTGTACTGCCACCTCCATTAAGCAAACTAATTTGCTCAGCACATTGACTGTGGCAACCTGGTCGCAGAGGCTCGTAGAAAATTTTCCTTGGTCGCAGTGGAAGGATATCTAGTGTTAATATGCTGCACTATTCTAACTGGATATATAAATATCAATCAGGAATGGGCGCACACCGACCTATTGGCTTCACGAAGGAAACAAGCTCCGTATGCGTGGCAAAGGTCACGAACAGGCAACCTATTACCAGGCCGAAGTCGGCCAAGTCATAAAAGCAGCAAGGAGGGACGACAGAGAATGCGGGTAGATTGAGACAGTACTGTTTCGGGCTTAGTGTGCCTTCATTCAGCCAATCATAACCCTGACCACCAGCAGCTGGGACCAGAAACACAAACATGCGCACATACGCACCTGGCGCAGTTGATCCACCACTGGGGTCTACCAGATGGTTCATAAGCACTTCATCGAACCGAAGTTCATCAGTGCCTCGCCACCTGCCATTCTCTGTCGCTGCCAATCGGGTATTTATCAATAAGGAATGGGCGCACACCGATCTATTGGCTTCACGAAGCAAACAAGCTCCGTATGTGTGGCAAAGGTCACGAACAGGCAACCAATTACCAGGCCGAAGTCGGCCAAGTCATAATAGCAGCAAGTCATAATTGCTGTTAGCATTTGCCTGCTGTAATTCTGTTAGTCAAGCTAACGTGACACATATATCCCTGTCGTACAATGGTTGTATAGTTGGAAGGCCATAACCTTTGTGAAGTTAGGTGCTTTGTTTGCTAAATAAACGATCTCATTCGTGATGGTCAGTTCCGAAATATTCTCTGATTGACAAACACAGAGTTGTAAGTAGACATAGACAAACTCTTTCGCATGCTTTTAGCCTCCCTAAGCTTCATAATAACGTCTACAGAACCCGCATAAACGCAAACACCTAAGGACCAAGGCGCACTTAATATCAGAAAAACGTACATCACTGTTGATGCAAAAAAGCCAGTGAGTATTGTTCCACGTTTAGGACACATGTCGAGGGGACTATTGTGTAGAAGTGACGCTCTCAAATTTCACCTCCATTTGACTTAAACACAATCGATCGCTAAAAACTTTTCAGTACATATGCGTAGTATGCTTTAAGGTTATTACCATTAATGATTCATTTCTGTTCGTGTTTTTTAAGAAACCCGAAAAAGTAGGCCGACAAACAGCATCAGTAAATAGACAAAAGTCTAGACCTAGTAGACAACGTTTCCCATTACTGTGGCCAACCGAAAACTAAACAAATGTTAATCATAGGTGCCATTTGGCTTCAAACTAAGCCAACTGCTGTCACCATGAGTTCACGCTAGACATAAAACTCCTTACCGCTTAACTTTTGCTGTTTTGGAAAGCGATATTTCACCGACATTGGAAGTCTCTAACTCAATTCTGGGAGCTAAAATTGTCAACCAAGTTTTTTAAACAACGCAGCAGGAACCATAAAGTAAACATCCGGATTGATTAAGCTAGAGCTGAATTGAAGATATATTATGACCAGATATGCAAATATATAATTACTGTAAAGGGAGGTTATTGCAAGTGCACAGATATCGTCAGTCCACATATTTCAAATTCAACCAGCTATTTTGTAGACCTCTCCTTTAGACTACCAAACAAGTGAGTCTGATCACATTTTCGGAAGGAATTTTAAATATAATCATTGGTAGCGGAGAAATTGGACACAAGGATGTTCCTATTGCGTTTGGGGTCACAATTCTCCTCCGTTGTACTGAATTCCGCATTTTGTACTTTGAGAGCTTTTATTCTAGTCTATGAGCAATTACGGAATCCAATAAGTACCGAGTTATTATGATAATCTCTCTACTGGCGGCAAACAGCTACCCAGTTAGCTTCACCATTGACTGTTTGGTCCACCTACTAGCACTCATGTCTGTCAATTTCCTAAACCGCCATTTAAACAATGATTAATATACTACATCTCTGTGCAAGCATTTCCATGCAAACAAGTCAATCTACGCACAATACTTGATTATGAAGCCATGTCAGAGACTAAATCGGCTGCCAGAGTATAAATTTCATTTAAGGCAACCTGACCATTATAAGAGCTCATACACAACTCTCTTAATTGGCAAAAGAGCTTACCAACGCACCGCGCAAAGCTCCCGGGAAGGTATGAGGTTAGTAATTATCAGGTACCTGCCGGCCTGGTCCCCACATCTTATGAAAATTCTAGGAAAATATTCAGAACGTGGTTAATTTTTCGCTCCACAAATAAGAACGGCAATAAACGGATACTTAAACAAAGACTATGTAACACAACTGGTAAAGAAGTTGACTAGACTTCGGGACGAAATCACAATTATGGAGTTAAAAAGGAAGCTTATTCGCAAATTTTGGGAAATTCCACAAGCAAAGTAGATTTAAGAGGTTTATTGAAAGTTTTCTCGAAGGCAGAGACACTATTTTCTAATTCCTTAGTTGAGTTTTGTCTCATTTCTACAAGCATGTTTTATCCAATCCTTCCGCAAACGACGTCTTTTGCGCCCCGAAAAAATATGACGGTTTTACTGAACAACGATTATAGTACTGAAAAAAATTATATAATGCCTTTTATTGGCCTAATATTTCCATCTTAATTTATTTCGGTTTACCTTGAAGGCACGAAAATTTGTAATTTCACTATAACCCGCGGAGATGCGAAGACTATGAACGATACGTTATTTGTGGAGATTTCAAAAACAGTGTCTGGCGGAGGTCAACTTAAGATGCGAAATGGTACTCACGCAGACACTTTGAGGCAAAACGACGGGGTCCAGTTGTTTGTTGAAGCAAAGGACTGCGGAATCCCACCAGAAACCTCACCGAAGCGTCCTCTCATGATATATGTAAGCTGGACACTTCAATATGGCAAAATTTATTTTATTTTTCATATTGCTATTTTCCATGGTTTTATCACAAACATAAACCTATCTTTTGTCTCTTAAGACAACAACCCTTATTTTTGTTCGCGCAAACCTTAAAAATTTTTTAAAAACGTTTTATGTTTGAAGTTTAAGTGCCTACTGGATGTAAATTTGAACTACATTTGCTCGCGACTACATTCTCACAAATTGTAGTTTTTGTAAGAAAAAGAACAGCGTTAATCTTAAGGTGACTTTAGAGTCTTTGATAAATGAATGGGTAGGAGACAGAACCCGTACCTACTAGGACACTCGACCAATGGCTGAAATGAAGTGTTTGTTTTTCCGCATAATTAAACCCGAACTGTCAAATTCGTTACTGTGCAGAACAATTTGCTCATAGATTTAACGTTAAGGTCCTTGCTATAGAGAAAAACTTGCGCTACCTTGATGCTGTTCTCATACCTCCTAAATGAAGGAAAAAATTTTATTTGATTTATCTGACGCTCATAGGTGTGCGCTGAACAACTAGGAGAATCCCGAGTTTTCGGTTTAAAAAGAAGGACCAAATAATAAATGCAGATTATGTTTCAGAGAGGAGACCACGGCTGGTAGACCCAGTTATTTCACCTTCAAATCCTTATCTTATAAGTTTGAATGAGCAAGACTTTAAATAACTCACAGCGATCTTGTCTTATTGCAAACGACTTTTCTTTAAAACTCAAGGTGTTATAAGAAAAAATAATAAATATTTTTACCCAGTTTTTTTTTCAAACTAGGACGTTTCGTATGTACCGATAGCTTTTTATAAACAGGTTTTCTTATACGCGAAGTACATTTGTGAATTAGTTTCTCAAGGCATCAGCGGTTTTGATATTTTGGAAAAACAGTATGTGTAGACGAAACAGCTACTCGAAACTCCAGACCTCCAATAAACCTCTCATCCTGAAAGCCTCCTTTTCTTTTGATATGCCACCAGAAAATCACCTTTTCACTATTATAAATGACGTATCATTCTTTCAGGAAAGCTTAAACAAATCAAGTGTAAGTAAAAATTTACCATCTCGGAGCTCCTATTCTCACAGAATTTTCAAAGACAATAAGAAACTAAAAAGCATTTGTCAAATTCGGCGAAAGCACTCAGAAAGCATATTCGGCAATGATGCAGTCAGGTTTCAAATGTAAGATACATCATCACTTTGTGGTGAAGTTGACTGCAAAGGCGCTTGACAGCAAGTACAACAGGGATCCATCGGATCACCGTACTGGGCGTTTTAAGTGACGATCAGGTAGTCGAGGTTGTTCACCAAAACCTTCCTAGTGTATATTAATGTCGAAACCACAATAGCTAGTCAATTGGCCAAAATAAGAAGTTTGAATTCAATAATTTAAACGTAAACTATCGGATTGCTTGCAAACAGTGGAATATAGGTTGCTTGACCTAGGGCAGTTAATTCATCATCAATCCCTCAATTAAATTTCAATAGCGCAGACCTGCTTAATGGAAAGGCTTTGACTTTTCTGTAACAATTACCTACTTTGTAAAAGAGTGAAATCATTTTAAGACCTCCTTTACTCCACAGCTAGCGATATAACCAATGGTAAAAATGGTCAAAAGTACAATGAAATCTGCCACAGCAGTAGCTGCAGCATACACGAAAATATCTTTAGAAATTATGCATTCGTGTCCCATAAATGATTGAAATCTAGTCCCAGACATTTTCATTGGCATGCTTCAAGTTTCCATTTTGAATTTAACTGGACCATAAATAGGCTGCAGCAGTTCTGGTACTCACTAACAAAGCACGATTGGGCTTTGAATTCAAGTAAAAATCTCAGATGACGCCAGTAGCAATGCACGGAATAAATTCCCTCGTTAACCCCTACTTTCCTGTTAGCATGATGTGGTCTTTGCTTCCAGTTTAAGATAATATATTGCCAGGTTCATTTTTACACACATTTCGCAACATTCGTCGATACCAAATTGTACAACTTCGCACATCGGCAAGTGCAGTTCGGACTACGCGAAGAATCAGAACTAATTTTACATAAAGAAAGACTCCTAATTACCAGGACTTTACTCACTTTAACTTCAATGACTTTGGTACTCACTAAAAAACCGTAAATGTAGAAAAAAGCATAAGTGGCGAAAAGCTGTATATGGGGTGCAGAAACGCATGTAATTCTGACGAAATCTTTAAATTCGCCTTAAAATTTATATCATTATTTAAACCAATTTTCAACACAAGTTTACAGTGGATATCCTTCCCAGATCACTAACAAGAAGCTGAATGTTAAAATTCGTTCGGTAAGTATTTTAATTATTTTTTCAAGCAATATTCGGAAAGGTATTAATTAAGTTTGTTGCATTTATCCAGGTGGCTTTCAGTGCCAGCACACAAATTAACCTATTTCCTGAACAGAATACTTCAAAAATAACTTTGGTAAGACTTTTTTGGGACAATGATACAGTCGACGGCCGCGGTTGCTTACTTTTAGGAGCATTTGTGCCAAAAGAACTGACGATATTATTTGTACGTGATATATTATTGAAAATAATTGGCGACATTATTTGTGCGTGATAAAGGGGCCTCCTGGTAGCTGATGCGTGAGGGTGGTCAAGATGCTTAAAGGGATCAACGGAGTAAAAATACCTGTCCGAGAATGCCTAAAAGGGGCCAATCAGTTCATTTATTATTGTTCCTAAATGGCACAGGTAGTGTCCCTTTTTAATTGAAGATAATATTGATAATCAAAATGTATGATACCACACAATTCGCAAATGCTTAACTAGTTTACTCAACATAAATCCTCTCCGAATTCAATGACCCCGACCGTAAACCTCACCGTTGCCCTTTTTGAATAGTAGTACATCTGCACATCATGGATTCCATATGAGCCTTCTGTTTTTAGCCCGCTTCCATGCCACAGCAAGGCGAGAGTCGTACAGTTGTTGTTTAAACAAATTCTGCACTGAAATGGCTAGATAAGTACGGATGATAGTCAGTCGGTTCATCGACTGGCCACTGCTGATAATGACATGCAGACGGAGAGGCTGCCTACTGTCGAGGTGAAATTGCGTACGCCGTTGGCAGACAGCCAACGTGTCCTATTTGCTAAGACCGTGGAACAGGCATCCTCCGATTTATCTCCCTATCTCGGCAGGGCCCTTAAATTTTGATGGTTTCATTTTCCTCCTTTGGATACAGCCAATAGCAAATTTATGACACCAATGTGGACTAAAAAGGCATAAATTTAATATTATTCTTTCAAAATTCATAGCCTCATCTTCCCACCTCCGTCACCAAATGTGCTCAAAGAATGGAGAACACAGTTGCCGACATCTTATCATAAACCGAGTTGTATCAGTTCAGAGCAGTTACCTCCAGGCTTGCGTGCGAGTCGGTGATTAGCTTACACACCCTATAATTGTTGCTTGTGCTGTTGCTGCTAGTATCTCCTGCGCGAGTTCGATAGCCCAGAGCAAAAAATGTTCCGCTGCTCGACTTCTCTACTTTAATTATACATACATATGAAACTTGAAATTTTGTCCTCATTCGCATAGCAGTTCATCAGCACCCAATTTGCGTCCCACAAGGTCCTCCCTTTGGTCCAGCAGCGCAGTTTACTTCTCCGACAGTGACAGCATCAGGAAGCCTCTTTTTCCTTTCACTTTGCGATCTGAACTCAGCTTGCGGTTCCGGAATCTTCGCAGCTCTAATTATGATGACTAACCATACTGAACCCGAAGCGCATCCTTTCTTATAGGACAAAATTTGAAAAGGTAGTTTTCTGCAAGAAAACTATAACGAACGAACATTTGTAGTTCTGTCCATTAAGGATTAGAGAAGTTACACGGGCGTAAGAAAAAAATGACCCAACGTGAGACCAAAATAATACTGCGACCGACGCTGTTCGCAAGGGATTAAGTAAAATTTGGGTAAGATGTTGTTTGGTAGTCCCACATGATAGGCACAATACTGTTGGCCTTGGAGGTTAGGGTTATGATTGGGGGCTAAGGTTAGGGATTATAGTAAGAGGTCAAGGCTAAGGGTTAGAGTTAAAGGTTAGGATAAGGGGCCAAAGTTTGGGGTTTAGGGTTAGGGAATACCGCGACCATTTCTCAACCACTCTAAGTACAACGGCGCATTCCCAAGGGCTTCTCTTTTGCGTACAACTACTCGACCTCGTCGCATGTGCGTTCCCCGGTCCCACCCGTTAAAACCCTATGCCTACCAGTCCCGTATTACAGGAGACTGGGGTTTGTTTATAAAAAATGAGGCTACATAACTGCATCTGACCAAATTGATGTCTAAAGGATCACTCGGACACTTTAATAAGTGTTGCATGAGTATACGTGTACAAGATGTGGAAATAAATGCAAAGTGAATGCGCATTGATCTGTGTTCAAATTAGACGGAATAGACTTTAGCAGTCTGATGCAGTCCTGGCAAGATAAACACATATCTCAATCTGCCCATTTCTCACTCCTTGGACCAATGTACATAAAAACTACTAGAACGCCTGATGGACCCGAATATGACGGGTTAAATTTTGATCATGCTCCGTAACATCTCAATTAATTAACAAATCATAGTTTCCTGCGTAACTTAATTGAAAAACACTTTCGGCAAGCCATTTTCCTCTGACCAAGACAAGAAGCCATGCCTTTTTAAAAGTAACCCAAATGCGCCGGGAGATTCGCAAGCATTCCTGGCCAACTGTGGTAACACATGAGCGTTTTGTCAGTGTAGAACATGGGAGAGAGGTAAACTCAAATTTATTGCGCACGACAAAACGGAAGAAGTGGTGGACTGGGCCAGATTTCATTTGGCGAACGCGGCACTTTCGCTACACTGAAGAAGCTCAGCAATTATTTCGAAAATCACTGACGTTTCCCGGCCATGTTTAAAGGATAAGGAGTTATTGGATGGCGATTTGTGTTATTGGCTTAAGCATCAATGGCACGGAGTTGCGGTCTCAAGTTCCAAGCTGGAATCGATCTCAGGTGCCTTGGAATAAGTTCAACAGATTTGGACGTCGGAAAGTTTGCGTAATACAGCGCTCAATGTTGACAATCCATGCATTTAAACCCCCTTTTGCCCCTTAAATATCTGAAAGATCTTGAAGGAGGGAATGCAATCCCTGAAATTATTTATCCGTCTCGAGAAAAGCTAAACACGGCTTTGCAGAAGATAAATCACTGATAGACTGTGAACTGGTGCCTCTATCTACCCTATACGACGGTCCCTTATTTACCGACGGAAAACAATTTTTTCTCGTTTGTTTTATTTGAACGCAAAAGAATGTCACCTGCAAATAGTCTTTTCAATTCGAGCTGTTGGGCCCATTTTGCATTTTACAGTTAGTGAATTCATGCGCGTCATCTCGTTTAAAGTTGGGTGCCTACACAACGTTTTCTGGTGGAATGCCACTATTCTATGCTTTTCTCCTCTTAACATATGAGACTGATGCTCGATGATATAAGACACTTTATAAAGGCATAAAAACATGCTGAAAAACCAACCCAGTGGATTAAAAACAGTCTGATCACTTGCTAACAGGTTCCGTTCGTTCTTGAAACCCTTATTAAAAATCCATTGGAAGAGGCTGATCTATGGAAATTTTGTAAGATGAATCCCATAAAGAACTTTGTTTTCCAAATAAACCATGCAAACATTCAGAAGGAAGCAAACAAAAACACTCGATCTGATTGTAGATCACTGTATTTACCGACCCCAGACAGCGGTAACGTTGTCAAAATCACCGTAATTTTGACTTGATGATGATAATAAAAATGTAACCCTCGATCATATCATCAACCTTATTACAAAGGTCGTTTCATCACGGCCCGAGCGCCTTTAAATCTGGAATTTATTTTTGCGTCTATTGCTACCGTCAGCATTAAAAACTCCAGCTTTATGACATCAATAATAGAAATTATCCCATTAGTTGTGCTACGCGTTTGGCCTGTTCAGTTCAGTAATGGAAAGAGGGTTATCACCGACAAATACAAGGGAGACTGAAATGGCCATTTCTGGCTTATTGGCAGTCGTCAGCCAGTCGTACTCAACCCCGAAGTGTGGAACACCCAAGGCTCGAACTCGCGAACTGCTAGTTAGAAGTCCATGCCTCGAACCACTGGGTCACGAGCCCCTTTCCCTGTCGGTTTCGATCGGGAATATACAATGAACGAAACTGAACGAGTAAGTTCCGTAAGAACGATCGGTGAGCGCCCCCTACCATTGTATATTCCCGATTGAACCGACAGGACAACGGGCTTGTGGCCCAGTGGTTAGAGGCGTGGACTTCTAACTACCAGGTCGCGAGTTCGTACCTCGGGTATACCACACTTCGGGGTTGGGTATGACTGGCTGACGACAGGTAATAAACCAGAAATGGCCATTCCAGTCCCCTCTGTCTTTGTTGACAGTAACCTTCTGCCTATAACATGCGCCGCTGTGCGGCTGCTGTTTGGGCTCGAGGGAGAGCCCGTCAAGCACAACGGGACGAGTGAGTTCCGTAAGAACGATCGGCGAGTGCCCTCTACCACAGTTATGAACGCTTTCCATAACCAGTAAGGCCGCAGCTCACTGAGCAGTTATCTTTGTTGTCATCACGAACAGGTGTGTCGCAAACGTGATCACCTGTCGTCCTGGAGGATGACGTCCATAGTAAGCCCCACACAGCTGACTTGCGCGTAAGTTAGTTTCTAGTGGTAGCAGCATCTGCCGCATCCGGAGGCTGGCTTGTTAGCTGATAAAGCCAAACAGTCTGTCAAGGCATGCGACACACGACCTGACCACAATGCTGGAGGGGCGTACACCAATCGTTCTTACGGAACTCATTCATCCCGTTGTGCTTTACGGACTGTCTCTCTCGAGCCCAATAAACAGCCACACAGCGGCGGCGCATGATATAGGCAGAATGGCATTACCGACAAAGACAAGGGAGTCTGTGCGGTCTTTGTCGGTAAAACCATTCTGTTCAACCACTTTTTTACGGAAACAAAGGAACAACTCGGAGCTCGCCTGAGTGAAAATGCCATACATAGTCAGGATGACTGTCAATAGGCATGAGGTCAGTCGACGGAAAGGCATAAACCACTGTCAGCCCTCACAGTCCATTGCATGCAGAGCGGGCTTCACAAATTCAGATCTCACATTTATCATGACTGCCATCTGAACACTTTATTAATGAGGCCCCGCAATTCGCGTATACTCCAAAAGACCACGTTATTCTTTCAGTTACCAGCTTTCGGAGCTAAAGCCTTCAGGCGTATGTAAAAAATGAAGCGAGCGGGGAAGGGTGAGCTGAAACGAGTGCATAAAGGCACGCCAAAGAAAGTCGGATAATTGACGGCTCCCCTCTTAGTCTGAATCTACTGTTACTACTACTACTACTACTACTACTACTACTACTACTACTACTACTACTACTACTACTACTACTACTACTACTACTACTACTACTACTACTACTACTACTACTACTACTACTACTACTACTACCACTCTACTACTACTACTCTACTACTACTACTCTTCTACTACTACTACTACTACTACTACTACTACTGCTACTACTACCATTACTACCACATACTTCTGTGAGTCTCATTACCGGCTCCGCCGTAGATGTGCTCGTCCTCGTCCTACTCAAAACAGTAATTCAGATTTATCTCACACGCTCCAGCCTGATGTGGCCTTCCTCCGTCCATTGCTAGGTGGTTAAAAGAGAACAGCCGCACTGGCCTGACGCAGTCATTCACATTCCGGTGCTGCAGCCGCTGGCCGCAGGCACGAAACTGCTCCACTTGACTGCCTTGGGCCCTGATACGCCTTCGACTCCCCTCACTGGAGCCACCAATGAGACCGCTTCCGCCGATGTTGCTGTCAAGGCTGGAGGTGTCTGCAACTACACGCTGTCTTCCGCATTGAACCTGAACTATACCATAGATGCCAGTGGTAAGTCTCCATAGGGCGCTGAAATTTGTCCTAGAGCTTTTTGCACTCAGTCGAAGTCCTACTAGATATTACTAGGTTATACTGCAATATAATAAACAACTAAGCGACCAAAATTGCAGATAATGTGCACGATTACAAATTGCTTCACCACTACCGCCAGCATCACTGCATCATCATCATCATCATCATCATCATCATCATCATCATCATCATCATCATCATCATCATCATCATCATCATCATCATCATCATCATCATCATCATCATCATCATCATCATCATCATCATCATCATCATCATCATCATCATCATCATCATCATCATCATCATCATCATCATCATCATCATCATCATCATCATCATCATCATCATCATCATCATCATCATCATCATCATCATCATCATCATCACTAATTGTACAATCATTTTGTAAAGCATAGGTTTTGTATGCGCAGAAAAGAAGCTGGTCCAAAACGGCATTCTGATGTGAATGAAACGTCTTGGGATTATGGTATATGACACTTAACATCACAATCACGCTTAGGTAGTCATTCCGGACCAAAAAAGCACCTCAGCTTCGAGGCCCCACCGAGAGATGTGAGCTCAGTGAAATTTGGGTCAATTTACTCTCAAAACTGTGATTAAACTCACGGTTCTCGGTTGGGCTGCATCCAAGCCTTCCGCTGGCTGTCATGAATATGGGTCCCATCAGGGTCGCGGGTTTTCCATTTTAAAGTCCAAATAACTTATTAAAAATCCGCCAAGCCATCTAAGAGACTGAAACACATTTTATCAAGTAGGAAAATATTCTTGTACCCCCTTTGTGCCTGAAAAATGTGCATATTTTGATTTTAAAAATTCCAATAATGTGATTTCGCAGGAAAATGCAATGTTCATTCAAACAACCTGTTTAATTATGCTTTCTACGACGCATGATTCTCCTTCAGTGGAAAGTAGCACCCCTATCGATTCGCTTTACGAAGCTTCAGTGTCCAATTTTGCCGGGGTATGCGACTTGGTAATTGGACAACAATTTGTCTAGTGTTCTCAAGCTTATATATGGAACAGTTTCCGATTAATTTAATCGGACTATTTAGACTGACGACAATGATGAGCGACAGATATCACAATGACCAGTAAAGTTATAACAACTACTACAGCTACTATATCCATCATTACTTCACCAGCACCACCAACCCTACTCTCACTACTACTGCTAGAACTACTACCAGTACTAGTGCCACTACTACTACTACTACTACTACTACTACTACTACTACTACTACTACTACTACTACTTTGCCACGGTGAACCCTCGTCTCCAATTATATCTTGCCCTTAGGAAACAATCCTAATTTTTGAGCCCATTAAGAATCTGCTCAGCGTGACACTTTTGTCATCTAAAATCTGCAAACAGCTGGCTACTTCATAGTCCCTATATCGGCGGTTTCGCGACAGGAACGTATTAGCTAGTTTGACAATTCAACTGTCGCATCGACGATGTCTGCCGTGTACTCCACAGCAGTGTGAAGCAGGCAATGTGATTTGGGCTTGAATTAATTTAAAGGGAGTGTAGACTTGCGTTGCACCTATCGCACCCTTTCCTCCTCCACCAACTGCATCCGATACCAAGACAAAATAAAGAAGACCGAAGACGGGGGAGGGTGCAAATAGGTGGCTTGACCGAACCCGGCAGCTTGACGTTCAACTCCACATCCCCTGGTCCACACAACAGTTGGCCAGAATTTTAACCATCAACAGCAACATCACGACGAGCCGAGGATGACTAGGCAGTCATGCTCACAACTTGTACGCCCAAGGGGACCACAAGCGCATCTGTCGGCAGGGAGCCAAGTCCAATGAAACTACCAGCACACACCGGGTTGGGCGGGGTCATGGTTTACTGACCTTTACATAGCCGACGCTTACAGTCCCTGAGGCCCAGAAGGATAATACGTGGTCCTGGATTTGCTTGGACCATCATCATTCAAAGGTCGAGTAACCAATCAATCTTCGTCTGAGAGGCACTATCCATGCATACACTCTTTACATGCATGAGAGTGCCAAAGGTCACCTGAAGAAGGAACCGTGACAGCCTGGCACTCAGCCCACTTCACACAAGCACACGCAACTGAGCAGGCTGTGTTGACTGAGTTGAGGCGCTTAGCGGATCGGCAGGGGACCCGGTGTTGGAAAACTGCTGGCACATAGCAGGCTGCGAGAGCCATGGTTAGGTGATCCGAGCATAGCAGACGCTTGCAAACCCTTAGACAATTAACTGGCATAGGAGACTAGGGTCCACCATACTTTGGATTATGAATTGGCGTGCAATCACACGTTCCAAGCACGCTTATTTTGTAATAAGAGTGTGGTGTAACTAACGCCCCTGGAACTAGGAAGTATGCTGTAATAAATACAATAAATCCTAAGTCGGGCTGACAGCGGTGGAGGAATCCTGTCATACTTAGACCGTACAAACTTCTGAGAGGATACCCTGGGATTTGGTTTTTCTGCCGCTAGGTGGATAATATGCACGTCTGGTTATCTGACATACGCGCATATGAGATTCGGGGGTGCCGACTCAACCAACCTAGAGGAAAACCTAATCTGATCGGGACTGGGTCGCATACGACAGGATGTACGCAGCTTGCAGGCTCAGCCTTGGATGCAGACTCTAGCAAGTATCTTACGTTTTCGCTACCAAACTCCTGCATTTATGGAATGTTTCTTTTAAAGTAAATGGCAAACCTGCAAACAGCTGCTAAATATTTCAAATCTACAGTAAGTGGACAAACTCATGAAATCTCAAAAGATATTCCGAAATGCGTTTTTATTTCAAAAAGATTAGTTAAGTTGGGTTGTAAAACCAATCATCTTGCAGCATAATTCGATAATGATTCAGTTACTCCAGGACACCAACTTTCGAACAAACACCTTTCCGGCTGCATCCAAAAGCCATACTCCGTAGAAAATGACTACTTAAGTGACATGCGTTGTTTTCGTCTAGTGTCGATGCTTTTAAAGATTTAATTATATTTCATGGGAAATATGCATGAAAATATTCGTTATTTTGCTCATACAGTGGAAAATTCCGGCTTTTTTTTCTAATTTTATACTCGATGTAGGGGTATATTTTGGTTTTTAAACTTTTTTGGATTCCCGAATAACTTTGAAGCCGACCTGCAGTTACACTTGGATTCAGGGTTTCCAAACTGCAAGCCACACATTTTTCGCGTACAGAAACCATTTAGTTCTCTGCTGTATTAAAAGGAGACCAATTAAATCCATAAACTTAAGCGGTGGATTTGAACCATACTGTTAACTTCACCAACCGCATTAGTAAATGCAGCGACAAAACGTTTTATAAAGTGCCATATCACGGTATTAAAAATCTCACAATTAGACACTTTATTGAAATTGAATTATAATCCTCCTTCGGGTATAAAACTAGATGAGGATGTCATTTTCTACTGAATGTGCAAAAAGATGAATATTTTTATGCATGTTTCCCATGAGATATAATTAAATCTTTAAGGGCATCGACACTCGACGAAAAAAATGTATGCTACTTAAGCAGTTATTTTTTTTGGAGTATGGTTTTTGGATGCAGCCGGAAAAAAGTTTTCCCCAAGCCGGCGTCCTGTGCTGACTGAATGATCATAGCATTATGCTGCTGATGATTCGTTTTACAACCCTACTTAACTAATCTTTTCGAAACAAAAACGCATTTCGGATTTTCAGAAAAGATCTCATGAGTTAGTTCACCTACTGTATTAGTACTTGTTTTCGGAAATCAAGAATCCAGAATTTAACCTGTTATCCAAATTTAATTCAGCAAATATTGATAGTTCTGGTATACTTATAGATATGCGATATGCAGTGTTTGTATGATTAATCTCGCAAACAGTAGTTTGTTTACTTGTAAAATGCGTCGAAGACGCGGCTACAGGATTAACTCTCAGGATACTTCCACACAGGGTACGCTTCCGGAACCGTGGACTTAAGGACAGCTTTAGCACTTTGCCCACAATCTTAACAAATTCGAGTTTATTAGCAAATTAAGGGCTAAGGCGTTGATGATACTTAGTTAGCCAGAAAAGGCTATTCCAGCCTCCCTTGTCTTTGCCGATATTCCCACGTGATTTTAAATTTTTACTAAGCTTTGCATTGAATGCGTTCTTGGGAAGTCAGGAACAATTCAAGAAGAATAATTGTTACTGGATGCTAGTAGAAAAAGTGGAATGTATTCGTTTTGAACCTAGTTAGTAAGCCAAAAAGGATCCTCAAATTCCCCATTTTTGCATTGACGTCTGCCGTAGTGTAGCAGCTTTAGAGGCCCTCAAAATCAGAGCTTCCATGGAATTCAAACGGACATGTTCCATGAAGGAAGCATATTGGTGAAATTTTACTTCTAAAATAGGCTATTTGAACTTTTCACTGAGAACCGATTTTTTTGTGCGAATGAAAGTTTTTATTCCACAGGAAGTAGTTGGTGTGCCGTAGAAATAGCGGTAGAGATGAAATCTGAGATTGTTTGTTCTGGTTTATTTGTCTTAAAACTCAGCCTGGACCAAACTACAGCAGGATAAGTGATGTAGAGCACCAAATACTTGAGCCGGATTCTCCACTCTTCCGTAATGAGCTCACACATTGTCATGTGTAATTGGGAACTTTTCAACTCAGTTGAAGCAGAAGCCGTTCTGTTTACCTTTTCGGACCCTTATCTGCAATCGTTATGGACGGCAAAATACCACAAGGAATTAAAATGTATGGTAGGGTGGGCTCGGTGGATTGCCAAATGCCAGTCATAGTTGTAAAATGTGTTTTATATTAGAAAGTATTAAATAGGTGGTGTTGTAATATTTGTTTTCTCGCAGCATAATCTCAAGGTGCTTCAGTCATACCAGGATACCGGCATTTGAATTTGCTCCCTTTCGACCACCTATCGATTCTTCATTTGGTAAAAATTGGCTTCAAAATTAGCTTGGATGATTCGTCCGGATATTTGATGGCTTGAAAAGGTCGAACACATTTTATAGAAAAAAATAGACAACATATGCTTCCTCGTGCGCACTTCATAAAAAATGAAGCCGATTTAAAATGTTATACTTGAAAAGACAATCCAAAATCCGTTTCGAAATTTGAGTTTTAAATTTTCCAAAACGCAGCCGAACGGGTGGGTCTCGATCTGCCTAAATTTATGCGTATTATTGTGAAAACATGCGGAAGGAAGATTACACACTTTAATTCGCGGAATGCGTATATTTTCTTCAAAATTTGAAACGTCTTGGAAAGTATCTCACGACAATTCCCAGCAGTGAGATCCTTACGTGGACTTGCTTGTGGCCATGCTGTTCGGTCTCAGGCAGTTTTGTCGGATTTTTAAATTTTGACACCATTGTGAAACCTTACCCGGTTAAAGGTGTCTTTCAAATCTCCTCTACCAGCCATAACGTGTCAGCTCTTATAGTGAATTAAAAAAAGAATATACGCCACTATTTTATGTAAGCATTTCTGAGCTGTCCGCGT